GGGGGGGGAGGAGGGGGAGAGAGAGAAAGAAAGAGCGAGACAGCAGAAAAAGAAGCAGAAGAGCTCACCAATCCGTGTAATAAGAGTTTTGCTCACTACTACCTACTACTGGGTAGTGTCTGGTCTGGGGTGGCGATTCCCTTAGAGGAGGATTTGGAACTTGGGAGGGCAACTAGCAACGGTGACAATGCCAACGTTGAACAATTGAAGGCGCCCGGATGAGGCAAGCAAGAGATGCAAACAGAAGGTCAGGTACCCCGGTATTCAGGTACCCAGGTACAGCTTCAAAGCAATTGTTTAGAATTTGAGTATTAGCGTTCCAGTTCCAGTGTTCCTGACAGGGACAATCCGGAGAATATCAATTATTGGATTCCGGATCCAGGCAAATGATGTCAGTGTCGAGTGAGTCTCTTCCCGCAAACGATCGTCCAACAAACCCTGACAAACCCTGCCAACCCCCTGCGAACAGCATCCAACATGTAAATGTGACGAGGGAAGTAAACTCAAATCCAATTGTTGAGTGGAATTGAAGTCATTGTATCAGTCGAAGTGAGGGGAAATCAGGGGGTAGTACGGAGTAATTCGTGGAGTTTTTTCTCAACGAGGAAGGATATGTGAGGGAGGACCAACCTTGAAAACGGAAAAGATTCCCTCCCCGGTCTCTCAGAGCTACTATGTACTAGGACTTCTTCTTATTTCTACTTTATTCATATAATATCTTCTATTGTTCAATATCACCTCTTCTATGCCAAGTCACCACTTCCACAATACCTCACCAGCTAGACCAACAATAGATAGCAATTCGGACCGCCTCACCAGCCCAAAACTCCGTTCATCTCGGGTTGCCTTCCCAGCCGAAATTTGCATCGAGTAGTCACTGTCGCCGCTCGCTTAATGAAGGGAATACAAATCAGGTACTCTCCCCGACCGTAGAAATCCTCTTCTCTCTTTTTCTCTTTTGTCTTACCCTACCCTTCCCCTCCTCTTAGTCCCACTCAGCACCCCAGATAACTCAGAAGCTGCCCCCCCAATCCCTCCAGACGATCAACGGTGGACTGCAAAGTGTGAAACGCGTTCGAGAAGCCGATCTCCAGCCGCGTCATTGGCGCTACGTCGGACGCCTGTCGAGCTAGAACAGGAGAGAAGCTCCACTTTCGCCCCCCAGTGGCCTCCATCATCTTCGCCCGGCGCACCGCGGCTCTTAGACTAGTCGACTAGTCGACTAGTAGACTAGGCTACGACGGTTTAGGGTCGGAGCTGTGCCCACGGTCTGGATCGTAGCTATTCTGGAATCTGGCATGACATGCTCTCTACTCCGTACTAACGAGAAAGAAGGCGAGGTCCGCGCGAGGGCAAGAGATCAACGATGTTCTAGCCGGGTCGGTTGGGATTTTATTTTTGATTTGGAGGACTGTTTGACTTCTTGACATTTTCACCGCCTCGTTTGGCCGTTCTTTTCTTTCTTCTTGTCCATCACTGAGGCTTGGCTAAGGGGGGACAACGAGGGGGGGAAAAAAAAGCAAAGACGATGGTGCAGGTGCAGGGAGGCAAGAACCCTTTCCGGCGAACGCCCGTTCCAATGGATCGTATTTACCCCTGAATCGGGCTCCTCTCATTTTAAACTCGCGATCTACTCCGTACAATGTATACCACAGGCCGGCTCGCGTACCCGAAGATCCTCCCGGGCTCTCCACAATGGCAGGTCGGACACTCAGACTGGTCAGCCTTTTGTCTCGGCGCTTTGCCAGTCAGTCCCCTGGTGGGTGGTTGTTTGCTTACCCATCTACGTGGTGCTCTAGTTCGCTATCGGCTGGACCCTTGGTGGCTGACCGTTTCCGGCGCTGGCTTGGGTAGTGTGTTCCAGGTTGGGTTGAAGTGCGTTTCGCGAGAACCCTTCAAACACGGTAGTTGCCATCGAGTGGAGCATGGGATGGAGATTGCCGACACAAAAATGAATCTAGGAGAGTGGCTATGCTGTGGTTTTGCAAGTCAGTCTAAATGGTCGATTCTATCTTCGTTCTGGCTACTGTCGCTGCCGCTGCCGCTGTAAATGGATCCGGCGCAGCCCGCCTCGCTCCGGATATCGTTAACGAGGACATACCAACCTAGTCGAGACCCTTGGCAGCTCTCTCGGCTTGAAGCTTCTCCGCCCGCTTCACCTTGCGCACGAACTTGATGTATTCATCCACCCGTTTCTCGGCCCAGATATATCCACCGAGCGTCATGGCCCCGATTTGCAGGAAGACTTTGAACTGCGGCGTCAGTCCGCGATAGACGCGAGAGGCCGGAGACAGCCAGTCGGAGAAGCCTTCCAGGGGCCGATGGAACAGTCGAGAACGAATGTAGTCTTTGGAGAACGGCGACTGTTTCAGTCGCGCGGAGTTGGGGGGTTGCGAGGGGACTGGTGCAGACGATGCGGGGGAGAATTTGAAGGGATGTGGGAGAGTCATGATCATGTGTGCGATGATTGAGACGGAGCCGAACTATGATCTGAGTCAATAGCTTGGAAGAGCGGTCTAGGGAAGGTATCGATCATACCCGGAATGCACCCGTAAGAAACCCCCGAACGGCCTCGGAGGTGATGTGCTCGGGCGGTTCGACTTCATGCCTCTGCCAGGAGGGGGGTGGCATATTGGCTGGCGGTAGTGTATCGAGAGTATGCTGATCCAGAGAAGTAAAAAGGCATCAATGTAGAAAGTAGCTACAGTGAGACCAATGGATCACTATAGGTGGGAGACAGCACGAGGTGATGAATGAGGTGCGATCACTTTGAACTGGTTCATGCAGGACAAAAAAGAGATTGGAGGGCCATCATATGACGCAGTGAATCCCGGGGAGGGAAGCATATCCCGCGGCGGAAATACAAAATTTCCGGCTGGGAATGCGGGCGGGATTTGTTCCGCCCCGCGAAATTCTGAGTCAAATTGGAGATAAGTGAGTAGGTAATCGAATCACCGCCCCTCGATTTCAATCCACTCCACCTCACAGCATCCACTACCCACTACCAGGTGCCTCCAGGTTGAATTCAGGACTGAGCCCTGCCAACCTACCAACCAACAATCGCATCAATCCTTCCTAACCATCCATCTTCAACCCCAGGTTCATACGACCGTGGTCGAACCCCATCACCTCACCTTCACAATGTCTCTCCCCGCCCGCACCGCATCCATCTCCCGCAACACCAACGAGACCAAGATCCAGGTCTCGCTCTCCCTGGACGGCGGCATCCTGCCCCCCTACGAACCCAGCCAACACTTCCCCGCGCCGACCGACCCCGCGGAGGCCGAAGCCGCGAAGAATGGCATTGTCCCGCCCAAGGATGCCGCACACGCCACCCAGTTCACTCCGACGCAGCAGATCACCGTGAGCACGGGCATTGGGTTCTTGGATCACATGCTGCACGCGCTGGCGAAGCACTCGGGCTGGAGTCTGGCGGTCCGCGCCAAGGGAGATCTATACAGTACGTTTTTCTTACCCGATCTCTCGAGGCATTCGGTATCCCGTGGG